CATACAAACACAGAAACACATACACACACATACATAGACACACACATACATACACACAAACACATCCACAGACGTACATACACACATACATACAGGCACGCAGACATACACATAAACACATACAAAAAAACCCACATACATACACACACACATACATACACACAAACACATGCACACACATACATACACACATGCATACAGACACACAGACATACACATAAACACATACACACATACACATGACCCGGCTTCGCCCGGGACTTGGATCCACCACGGCGGCAAAACCGACATACATACACACACAGACATACACACAAACACATACACACACATACATACACACATGCATACAGACACACAGACATACACATAAACACATACACATGGCCCGACTTCGCCCGGGACTTGGATCTACCACGCCCGGCCGCCTTTGTCTCCCAAGTGCCGATGTTAATACGCCACACCAGTTACTCGTTTGAGGCTGAGTGGACCTAGGGGAGGTTCAAATAGTCGTCACCGGTGGTGGCCGTGAGCGGGAATGGAACTGGGTTCGCCGGGTTGGTAGCGCAGCGTAGCGTTAAGCACTACACCCACCGCTCCTCACACACCACACACGCACAGACACACACACAGACACACGCAGACACACACAGACAGACACAGACAGACACACACACACACAGACACACAGACAGCACGCTAAGCACTGCACTACCGCTCCCCACACACCACACACGCACACACACAGACACACACACAGACACATGCAGACAGACACAGACAGACACACACACACACAGACACAGACAGCACGCTAAGCACTACACTACCGTTCCCCCTACACAACACACGCGCGCGCGTCCATAGGTACACATACACGCGCTTGCTGCAGACACACACGACTTTCAGGGTGCGTAAGGCAGTAAACGACTGAAATAATAAAGCGGCAATGCTGTGCGAGGAACGCCTTAGACCAGCAACACATTTGTGTAATGCGAGCGTAAACACACAAACACATACAAACACATACACACACATACATACACACACATACACACAAACACATACACACAGACATACACATACACACAAACACACACATACATGCACACAAACACATACACAATACACACACACATACATGCAGACACAGACAGACACATAACACACATACATACACACACATACACACACATACATAGACACACACATACATACACACACACATACATACACACAAACACATGCACACACGTACATACACACATACATAGAGACACGCAGACATACACATAAAGACATTAAAAAAACCCACATACATACACACACATACACACAAACACATACATACACATACATACACACATACATAGAGACACACAGACATACACATAAACACAAACACACATACACATGACCCGGCTTCGCCCGGGACTTGGATCCACGATGCCCCGCCGCCTTTGTCTCCCCAGTGACGATGTTCACACACGACAGCAGTTACGCTTTTGAGGCTGAGTGGACCTAGGGGAGGGCCAGGTCCGTTTCAAATAATCGTCAGCGGTGGTGAGCGTGAGTTGGAATCGAACTGGGGTCGCTCAAGCAGCTTAATGACTGTTTGTACAAAGAACATATAAAGAATCGATTATAATAACCAGGCAAGAGTCCACATTATAGACTGCCAGTACACGCACTCAGCTTCATAAGCAGGCTAGAGTGTACATGATAGAGTGGCAGTACGCTCACCGAGCTTAATAAGCAGGCTACAGTGTACATGATAGACTGGCAGTACGCTCACCCAGCTTAATGAGTATTTGTACAGTGAACATTAAAGTAATCGATTGTTGGCGCGTTGGGTTTAAAAGTAATATTAATAGCACACATTGTGGCGGGGGTGTAGTGAAGAGTAGGAAAAACTTTGATGAATTTACCTCAGAGTGGCGTGGTGGGTGTCGAGGCCTAGTAGCGTGCAAAGCCTGCGGCCTCGCCTAAAATTGTCGGCTTGGAAGAGGCAGGGTACGGGTGGCGTTCCTTCCCCCCCCCCTAGCGCTCCAACAATACTGTGTAATGGCTATTATTTAATTAAATACGGAGCTTATGAAAGTGGCGAAGGCGTGGCTAGCCGTTGGCAGGGGCAACCGCCGTCCAATGAAACTGCAGCCCTTGGCGAAGGCGTGGCTAGCCGTTGCCAGGTCCAATGAAAGCGGCGAAGGCGTGGCTAGCCGTTGCCAGGGGCAACCGCCGTCCAATGAAAGTGCGTATGGGCCAAAGTCCACACACACACACACAGACAGACATGAACGATTTTATATATATAGATAGACAACACGTTCTACTTAATTAAATAGACTTTTTAATAAATGTTTTCTTCTACAACATCAGAGTGCAGCGCCACATTAAATACGCATGCTTAATTTTTTTTTTGGGGGGGCAGAGCTTTGTGACGTCATATTTGAGAGGGGGGGGGTCTGACTTTTTGTGACGCCGTGTGACGATGGGGGGGGGGGGGTCAAAAATCGCGTGACGTCATTTATGGACGGCCCCTTATCAAGGGCCATGATCAATCCACTGTTAGATGAAGACCTCTCAAAGCCGTCACCAACTCTCACAACCAGGCGATATAATAATCTATGAGATCTCTTTTACCAGTGGCAAAATATAGTAATAGGTTTTTACCCTTTTAAACTGGTACAAAACTGACACCTTTATACAAGGCATCATGTTTGCAATAATCACAACACAAGTAGTCAAAACAGCAAACAAAAAGAAGCAACTCTGATAATGATAATAATATGCACTGTCCTTGAAGTTGATTGGTCCACACCCGAGACGGCTTTCTTTAGAGCCTAGTCCCCATTGGTGTTGGACCAGATGACACCAGAAGGCGTACAACTCAAACACAGTGCAATATCAGAGTATTGAGAGCTCGGGGTAAGCAGGCGATATAATATTCTACCGAGCACAAAACACGCGACCCCAGGCACGTTTCATTACATTTTCTCGGAAAATTTCTATCATTATAACAACAACAAAAACATACATTACAAGCCCAATGTCAATCTACTGCTGTGTTAACTTCCCACGCCGTGTCGGTCATCATCACGCTGTATACCCTGTAGGTTAACGTCGACATGAATAACGTGTGGAACCCGCATCACATGGCAGACACTTTTATTACTACTATAGTAGTAACAGACATTCAATATAAGTATTTTATTTAGTAAATCCAAATCATTTTGATCCAGATATTTAGTAAGCTTATATCAATTTCACCCAGACAATTAGTAAATGTAAATCTATTTCACCCAGATCATTAATAAATATTAATCAGATTCCACCAGATATTTAGTAAATCTAAATTACCATTGCTCAGATATTAAGCAAATATAAATCACTTTTCCTTGTAAAATCTATTGGGATTTACACAATTTTGTTTAGGCTCTATAACTCATCATTTGGAATCATATTACTAAATCCAACACATTTTAACTGTTGCTTTTATTACCATGTACTTATTTTTTATTATTATTATTTTGTTAATTTATTCAATACTTTTTATTCAAAGTTGTAGTGCTTAAAATCTACTCAATTATATCACGTGTCACTTTGTTGCCATAATTTTTTTAAGTAACAATGTGTCACATTTTTTACAGTGTACTACCACCACAGTTTCATTTCTCATACGAATGTTCCGTATTGTAATCGAATTATATATATGCACAGCGGTCTCCTATACATATATACACCCATAGAAAGAACAGTGCCAGACATAATCACACACATTTCCTGGAAAGCCTTCAATTAGTATCTTTAGCGGGGTAATGTATTGGGGTATTTGACCGATTGCTTTGTGTGACTTGAGCTCCATTGGGATCCTTGATCATTGGGATACACTGTTTATGTCTGAGGCTCATAGAGCCAGACAAAATATACTTTGGCAATCTTGTGATTGGGTATTCATGCCAGAGGCTTACAGAGCCTGACTAAGGCACGTTTAGGCTTCTTATGATTAAAAGTAGTAATGCTCAATACTCAAGAGGCAGACTCATCTTTAATTTATCATTTATAGGTTTTAGTATGAATAATGCTTGAAGCTCGATTTAAAGCTTTCGTGACTGTAGAAGGGAAATAATAAAATAATAAAAATAAAACATAATAAAATATAATTAAATTTCGATTTAAAGCTTTCGTGACTGCAGGGATTCATCTTCTTGGTTCTTTCGGTAAAGTCACGTAGACGGGAAGTAATAAAATAATAAAAATAAAACATAATAAAATAATTATCAAGACGTTTCGGCCACAACATGTCTGTCGATAAGACAGAGTCTTCAGACTCTGTCTTATCGACAGACACCTGAGGACGGCTGCTTGCGTTGTGGCCGAAACATCGTGAGAATTATGTTATTATGTTTTATTTTTATTATTTTATTACTTCCCTTCTACGTGACTTTACCGAAAGAACCAAGAAGATGCTTGAAGCTCGTTGAGCCAGATTGAGGCTCCTTGATTAGGGTTCAATGTTAATACATGAGGCTCATAGAGTCAGATTAAGGCTCCTTGATTAGAGTTCAATGTTAATACATGAGGCTCATAGAGTCAGATTAAGGCTCGTTGATTCGTGTTCAGTGTTAATGCCTGAGGCTCATAGAGCCAAAACTAATGTACGTGTAGGCTTCTCCTAAGCAGTAAATGCCCGCGGCTCAAACAAGCGGACTTATGGATCGTTTTTTTATGTGTGTGTGTTACGATTCGTACGGCTCCGTGTTAACGCGCGGGATTTGCGACGGACTCAGCGAAATTCCCCTTGATGCGGATTCAATGTTAACGCGCGCTGCGGCATACGACGACTACGACGAGAGAGAAAGAGAGCGAGCGAGAGGCACATGCGGCGGTCTCATGCAGACTTCAAAGTGCGGTTACGTCATTGCTTCAGGCTCCCAGGGTGTGCATGCGGGTGACGTGGTGGTTCGTGGATGCCCAGTCGTGCTGAGTGAGCACAAAGCCCAGGCGTGACATCACAGCCACCCAGAACTTCAACCCAGCGGTGCTAGGGGGTTTGCGGGCATCTGCAGCAGCAGCAAGCAGCAAGCAACGGGAGTAGGAGGATGCGTATTTGCCCGTCCAGTGTCTTCCTCCGTACAATTGCTCTTCGGCAGCAGCAGCAGAGGCGGCATCCGTTTTGCGCAGCGGAACAGGCGTACGCGTAGAGGCAGCAGGCGTGTGTCGGGACGTCCTCTGAATGAACACTTCGCCTGCGGTGGCAATACGCTGCTACTGCTGCTCTGCGCTTTTTTGAGCGTTTGTGTTGCGAGAGCACAAACACACACACAGTCACACACACACACAGTCACACACACACAGTGACACACACACAGTCACACTCTCTACCCGCTCTGCATCCACACCGCATTGCACTGCGTTGCAGCGCGCTCGTGCAGAAACGAGGAGCTCGCAGTAGTGGGCATCAGCAGCAGCAGCCACACACACTCAGAACCCAACAACAACAACAAGCACGACAACAACAACAACAAGCTCCGCATCGTTATCATCATCTATCTATGCGTCTGCGTGACCATGCCTTGCCGAGCAGCGGAGCAGCAGCAGCAGCGTCAGGAAGAAGATGCGGACGATAACAAGGAACGGATGAAGTCCAAGAGCCTTCCCGACCTCAATGGCGTGGCCGGAGGTGTCCATCGGGTGGCGGCGGCGGCGGCGACGACGGCCGACCCGGAGTCGAACAAGAGTGGTGGTGGGACCGTGGTGGCCGGCCATCATCACGGCGGTACGACGGACCTGGCGTGCACGTGGCAGGCAGTGATCCTGCGGGTCAGGAGGTACATCAGCACGAGACAGTTCGCCGACTCGCGCTGTTTCCTCCTCTGCATCTGCATCCTGACCTTCATCCAGGCGCTCATGGTGTCCGGCTACCTGAGCAGCGTCATCACCACCATGGAGAAGCGCTACAACCTCAAGAGCTCCGAGTCGGGCCTCCTGGTCAGCTGCTTTGACATCGGCAGCCTCTTGGTGGTGGTGGCCGTCAGCTACTACGGCGGCCGCGGCCACCGGCCACGCTGGCTGGCCGTCGGCGGAGCTCTCATTGCCCTCGGAGCGGTCATTTTCACGTTGCCACACTTCCTCTCGCCGCCGTACCACGAAAACTACGCCGCGCGCTTCCAGGAGCTCGAGGCAGAGCGTCGTGACAGCGACAAAGTTCTGTGCGGCGGCGCCAACGCCAACGCCAACGAAAGTTTGCCGTCTCCGGGCGTTCCCAAGGCGGCCAAACCCTGCGATAGGAAACACCGGGGGAGGCAGTCACGGGATTTACCTGGCGCTGTTCATGAGCGCCCAGATCCTCGTGGGCATGGGCTCCACTCCCATCTACATCCTGGGGCCGACCTACCTGGACGACAACTGTGAAAGAGGAGAACGCGTCGCTCTATCTGGGTGAGTCGCATGGGGGGTGGTGGACGCTACTGATCGCCGGTCGGGCCTTCCGTCTGCCATGCGGCATGTTGGTTGGTTACGTTGTGTAAAGCATCAGCGTGCTCAAACAGTATTGGGGCGTGGGGAAAATTCCATTGTGGTACCACTGCAATCTGATACGACGTCTATGCCTCCCCCCCCACCACCGCCGCTTTCACAAACGCGCTGTTCAGCGTGCTGAAGTGTGGTCACGTGACATGCTAAACGGGGCGGTGGGGGGGAGGCTGCATGGCTATGCATTCTTAAATCAAACTGTGCAGAGCTTTGATTGTTTACCCTCCCCCCCACGCGCCTGAATGCTGATTTCCCACCGTACTCCGGTGGTGTCACAACAAGGCAAACACGAATGAAAGGAAATGTCCAAACATCCTAAATGCAGGACCATCCTGAAAACAAGAATAGGTGAATGGCCACTATACATTGAAATACACATTGCCTCGATGATAATATGGGTTTCCATATCGTTTCATTTGCGGTGTTATTTAAACTGTATACTGTACCGTTGGTGATCTCTCTTCTGCAACTAAATGGATTAATTTACAAAATTAATCAATAGGCACCTGCCAAGTCAGACACAGAAGGAGAATGCAATACTGAGATTAATTTAGCTATTCATTATAAAATCTAGTTGCTATTGTAATTGTGGCAGTTTTTACACACGGCGTAACTACATGACCTTAATGCTATTCACGTTTGCTTTTCATCGGGTAAGAAATATCGGGCAACGATGCTAATCATTGACCTTTACAACAAATCCTGTCAAATTTGTTCAAGTCATTTCTCAGATATAACAGTATCAGCCTGGCTGGCTGAACGGCGAATGTCTACTTTTTTAAAAAATCCTTTATATTAAGTTCGCTTGCTTGCTTAGGACCGTGCAAATCTTTCGGTCGTTTTTTAACCCACTTCCCGTGATCCAATCGAGCTGACATTTTCCACACATACTCGTTGTGCGTGACAATTAATGTTCGTGAAATTTTTTTTCTCCAAAATTTTACACTTTTTAGGACAAAAATATTATATTTAATTATCAATTGCTTAATGCTGCCATGCAATCATCTGACCCATAGGTGGCAGCCATCTCAGGCCAGAGGACGAGAGGACTCTAGCCGCCACGCATATAAAGGATTTATAGTGAAAAACTTTGTTTTTACGGGTTATACTTGTTTTACCCTTTTGACAGCGAGCGATGAAATTGGCATATATATGATTCAGCAGAAATGAATGGCTGACGAAGATTAAACAACTTGTACACAGTGTGAATAGCCTTACATTGTTTTCCTGCATTACCATCCAATATTTCCAAATTTGAAGAAGAAAAAAAAAGAACTCAATTGGAATATTACCCTGCTGGAAAAGAGTCACGAGACTCAGGGAGGCTTTCCTTGGTAAAAAAAAAAATCAAAATAATAATCATCATGAAGAAGAATAAGTTAGGAATCTGGTACTGGTATGAACCTCCTAGTTACACCAGCCCACAGGGGATTATTGTGTCCGTCGTGCAGGGAAGGGCTGGGTGGGGAGGGAGGGGCTGGGTGGGGAGGGGAGGGTGGGGAGGGGCTGGGTGGGGAGGGTGGGGCTGAGTGGTGGGATTAGTGGGGCTGGGTGGGGAGGGGAGGGTGAGGAGGGGTTGGGTGGGGAGGGTGGGGCTGGGTGGGGAGGGGAGGATGAGGAGGGGCTGGGTGGGGAGGGTGGGGCTGGGTGGTTGGAGGGGTGGGGCTGGGTGGGGAGGGGAGGGTGGGGAGGGGTTGGGTGGGGAGGGAGGGGCTGGGTGGGGAGGGGAGGGGCTGGGTGGGGAGGGTGGGGCTGGGTGGGGGGTGGGAGGGGTCAGGCTGGGTGGGGAGGGACTGGTCACCCAGTGGTGCCCTTATAAAACTCAACGTTTAACCTACTCACGCCGGCTTGTGCCCGCCCTCACAGTGGGCCATATTTGCGGAATACACCACGCCGCCGTTGACCCTGGCCATTGACCGAGCAACCTAACGTTCCTACCAGCTCCCTCTGCAGGGATATGTTTTATTCAGGGCCTCGTTTGTAATGTACCGAAGCTTATCAGACCGTGCATTGTCACAACTGTCACAAGTACACTTCGGATCAGAGTAGTTACGCTGAACAACACGACCGAGTATTGAACAACATCGAGGGCATTCCAAAAGACAGAGAACGCATGTGCTGATGCAGTCACTGGTATGATGGACAAGTACAATTAACTCAGGGTAACTAGAATGATTGAAACAATCAATTTTAATTAACTAATTGCTTGATTACTGTAGTGATAGTGCCATATTTTTTCATAATATTTATCTGCATAGGTTTTGTTAGACCATATGTTGAGTTTGAGAATACGTTTAATTTCTAATATGTCACGTCACCTTGAATTGCAGTGTATTGATGCTCAGTTTTAGAGCATGCCACGCAACCAACACAAGCACTACGTATGTCACCAGCAGATACAGTATTACAAAAGAAAATATGATGTCACTTACCTCCAATTAATTGCTATGAATACAAAAATTACCACAAAGGTCGCCAACCAAAGGCTTGACAAATACAATGTGGCAAATTTTGGCTCAAATACTCTGCTTGAAAATCCTGAACATGTTTCGCTGAATAATTGTGCATCATCCAGATCATTTCAGTAATCGATTTTAGTGTATTATAACCTTAGTTTTGTCCTTATTTTATGAAGATTTTTTTCCATATATTATTATTAATTATCTGGCCTACAGCACTTGAAATGCTGTATGTGGCGAGTGATTCATGAGCTCTCATTCATTTTCGTCCTGTGATCCTTGAAGATGTTTTTAGAGTAAAGTTGCATTTAATCTTGAGGTAACCTGTCAACTTCTGCATGTTAATGGAAACCCATTCTGTGCAGATTGCCGTCTGAAGAGAGAAAATCAAGCGCCTTTGTGCTCGTAAACAGGACTGCTTAATATTCTTGGTTCTTTTGGTAAAGTCACGTAAAAGAACCAAGAATATGAATCCCTGCAGTCACGAAAGCTTTAAATAAAAAAAAGGACTGCTTAAGTTCACAGATGCCTCTAATGATCACTTGAAATACCCACCACTATGCAAAATCTGATCATTAGTCATTTCTCGATGTACCTATGTAGTGTTTAATCAGTGTATATCACCTGCTATGACATATGGGTCAGAAATAGGGACATTTCCAGAGCGGAACAAAAGCCGATAATGTCCCACAAAGGATGGAGTGGTGCACGCTGGGAATTCTACTGAGGGACACATGGATAAATCTAAGTTGTCTTAATCTAAGTTGTCTTATGGTTGTTGTTGTTGTTGTTTGACTTGTATCCCACCGGGATTTTTGCACACAGCGTTGGTGTACGGTGTTTTTTCTGCAATATTTTGGTGTCTTTTCTTGGATTTTCTATTTGCACTTAGTCACATATTCACTTTAAGATGTTTTTGTTCACGTTTTTGTTTTTTGTTTGTTGCGGTTGCACCCGATTCAAGAGCCGAATGGCTCACAGGGCTATACCTAATAAATGAACTTGAACTTGATTGGAGAACATATGCAAGTTAGGGACACCGCAAAGCACATAGACTTGTTACTGCGGTGGCGAGATGTTAACTCTCTCGCCTGGTATACAGGAAGTCGTGGGTTCAATCCCAACCCTGACGCCTGCTGCTGTATATTTGGAGTTTGGATGTCTCTCTCTCTCTCTCTCCCCGTGGTCGTGTGGATTTTTTCTCCCTCCGATTTTTCCCTCCACATTTAGAATGGACATGCGCTTAAAGTATTTGGCTGCTATAGATTTCCACGTGATGAGCCACTTCGTTGTAATATCATTTGTGGCCAGGTGGCTTCTGAAAAATTAACCCGTAAAAACAAAGTTTTTCACTATAAATCCTTTATATGCGTCGCATCGATTTTATTTTATTATTCATTTCTGTTTTTCTTGAGTAAGAGTTTCATTTTTATCACATTGGTATTTTAAATGAAATATGAAATTTTTTTTCCTAACAAGTGGAAAATTTTGGAACAAATTTTTCACGAAAATAAATTGTCATGCACGAGTCTGTGTGCAAAATGTCAGCTCGATTGGATCACGGGAAGTGGGTTAAAAAACGACCGAAAGATTTGCACGGTCGTAAGTGCGCAAGCAAGCAAGCAAGTGAACTTAATATAAAGGATTTAAAAAGAGCTGAACAGCTCAGTGGTAAAATAAAACGTGACAAAAATGTGTTAAATAATTATATTTGTTTGCTGGAAAGAGATGATGGCCAGTGGCCGAGACTAACGACAGAGTGGCAGCTAAAGAAGGTAAAAACACGCCGTGGAGACGGAGTGATGAAATCATCTCGTGTGCAAATTAATGACGATTTGTCGAAGTGTAAGACTTTGAAAGATTGAGATGGCTTGGGGAGGCCGTCATCCCGCAGTGGATACATTACGTCTGAAGATGGTGATGGCGGTGGTGACAATCATTCTTACTAAATACCACCTATAAATGTCCACGCTTTAGTTTATCAGAACACTGCATCATCCTCTCTCTCTCTTTAGCCTCTCCTCAAACAATTTCGTCATTGTTGTGACATCATCATCGCTGCATAATTCCCACCGCATTGTAACTGTTTCGCATTAAATACAATGACTTTATACAGCATTCACAAGTCAAAATTAGATAATCATTTCTCAGCCAATTGAAGCGAATTAATGTATGTATGGATGGCTAGATTTGGCAGACAAATTATGATTTTCACATTGTAAGACACTGTAATAGAATATTTCATTTATTTTTCTCAACACATTTTCAGCAATTTGATCAGGCCATTATGTATTTACTTAGGAAATAAATACATAAACATATTTATTGACATTGCAATTGTCAAAAATGTAAACATGACGCGATAAATTATTGTAATGCTCAAATGTATTTTGTAGCGGCCTTTATAGCACATCGTATTGATCCCGCTAATTATATAATATGCGAAGA